GTGCGAGGCAGAAACCTCATTTTCCTCACCAAGCATTTTCTGAAATCCAAGGAAACACTTAAGCCTAGTCATCCATTCTAAAACACATTGGTGCACGTTGTATATGAGTGTATGTGGGACTGATGTGGACGCAAGAACCATTTCTCCAAAGCAATTTAAGTTTATCTGCGACGACAAGTCCCAAGTGAAATGATCCACATTGGGTTAGCAACCTGGACTAACCTTATATTTTACAGGCACGATTCACAGCCTCTGACACTGCTTCTGTATCCTTGACCCGCTACGCTAAATACAACCCAGGTAGCCCTCTTAACCAAGGTGCTTTATTTAAGCCTCAAGGCGTATTTGGACCCCCAAATTTACACGCCTAACTGGCAAATCACCCCTGAAGCGGGTGTGAGCTCAGCGACTAAACCCATAAAATAACCACGTCACTCACAGCCACAGTTGGCCTCCAGCATAACCTTACACAGCTTGTTGTTTTAAAATGGATGCCCAGGCTTGGCGTGTCGCCCTGCGTTCGTGGCAGTCGAGACCGAGTCTGATTATGTGACTCCGTCCCCCAGAGAGAATGGCAACCCTATACAGGAAGTGGTCCTGGAGAACCCAGCTTTGTACTACAGCGCAGTCAAGAAGGACAAACAAAATCTCAGGAAGAAAGTGGTGAGACATGCCGATGTCAATGATTATGATTCAAATGGAGGATGGGTTGGACGACCGTTCTCAGATGGTTTGGGGTTGTATTTTTGTGCATTCATACACGTCTTAAATCACAAGACCCCATTTTGACCTCTGAAACTGAGGTCGCAGGAGGAATCCCTCCGACTAGCAGCCTCTTAGTTCCATCATGACCTTTCCAAACACTGTTTTCTCCTTCTTTCATTGCTTCTCTGCGTTTTTCTGTCTGTTTTTCTCTCCCCTAACTCCTGCACAGCTTAAGACAGAGCTTCTGGGCTCAAAGTTTAACTCCATTCTAGAGGAGACTACGGTAAGGTTCCCATTAAAAGCACAAGTGACAGACGCATCTCGTCGCATGTCAGCTTCTCCGCTCTGTACACTGCCATTTGTCTCCAAAACTTCCTTTTGTATGGCTGCCTCATCGCTAACACAAACTGCAATACTAACAGGAAACATCTCAGTCTCCTCGCCAGTATGTCGACCAGTAACCACTAACATCTTTCCTTTGTGGTGTCTGTCGCACTCTTTTGTCATGTGAGTTGTCGCTAGCACCTCGCCGGTAATTTGCGCCGCTGACCGGGTCCTTCTGTCCGCAGGGAGAAGACGGGGATTATCAACCTGTGGGCTCTATGGCAGGACTGGAGAAACAAGAGCTGAATTATGCCGCTCTGGAGTTTATCGGGGCCAGGCCCAGGGAGGGGGCCTCAGGGAGGGGGGATGACGGCAGCAACTACACGGAAATCAAAGCCAAATGAATCGCAATCCTTCCCTGATCCCTCGGCTATGCGAGACGCAGTGGCAACCCCATATCATGCACATCCCCTGCCCCATAATAACCACCCCCGCCTCCTCTACTGGACCTCCCTCTCTATATGACGACTCCTGGGTTCTTCAGATTTGTCACAGATCACTTGATGCCAGTGCCCCCCACTCACGCTGCCCCTCTCCCATGGGGTGCCCCTTCATATGCCGTGATTTGGGACAAAACTGGTTCTTTTTGGGTCATAACGTGACCCATTGGACGATAGTAAATAAATAATGTAAATTTCAAGCCTCAGTTGTAACGCATGGGCTCTAAAACATGCAACCAGTGGCCATGTTTTTGTTGCTTTCTCCATGTTCTTCATTGTGATTGCTGATGTCACTGTCAAATAACGGACATCTGAGTGCTTGCATTCGTCTCACTATTGGCTCTACGTGTCGCTCCTGTAACTGTCACTGTGTCTGCTGCCAGTCGAAGCATTGGGGGAAGGAGTAACCAAGCTTTTTGTTCTCTTATCTTTACCCGTCCATCTGACTGAGAGCGGACCCGTCTCCTCTCTTTCCTTTGGTTACTTACATCCCGAGAAGATAACCGAGTGAAGCGGGAGACGGAAACGCGTCTCAGAATCTTTGTTTTTACATAATTGTATTTAATGTGTGCTGTGACTCAGTAGCCTCTCATAATAAATGAAAGAAGAAAATGCAGCCATCACTTTTGATAACATTTGGCAAGTTTTTGTAAATCTAAGTAAAACACTGTCCGGTTTGGAAATATGTCACAGCTTTTTTTTTTCCAGCATCCAACCAGATTGTGTAAAAAAAACATAAACATTTGGAGATTTTCCTACACTGTGGCCGACGCAAAATGTCTGTCTCATCTTATGCTTCATCTCCCTGAGGCTCTGTTATTGATCTATCTGGAAAAAAGTGACCTAAAGCACATCATACTTGCACGTGAGTGGCAAAGGTATTATCTCTTGTAGACAATGTGTGTGTGTGAAGGGGTGTGTGTTTGGTGGGGTGTGTGTGTGTATGTGTGTGTATATTCATATTGTGCTGAAAGACCACAGGACACTGATCTCTGGAGTCTTTGGGAAATTCGAGTGTCACTTCACTTTGACGAGCGGATGCTTATTTCTTGCAGGGTTGCATCAGATGTTTGAATGACAAAAAGTGACGCTGTCTAGCCAGCTGGTTGTGCTATTCAACGACATTTGATCAGCCCACGACGTCGTGTCAAAGTTCACTAATAGTCTAACTCGATAACAATGGTGTCGAAAATATAACAATAAGATGTTTGTTGATCGTAAAGAGATGCGTGGATGTACAGTAAATGAATTTTGAGCCGGCAGGCACACATTGGAGTGTTGGGATGAAAAGCCAGTGTGGAAAATTAAAAACCACACATCATTCAACCAGTGACTGAACACTGACTTGATACAAGCTTAAGGACAGAGCAGAACACAGCCTCTAACTGTGGGGTGGGGTGGGGGGGCTTTTTCTATCAAGGGTCATGTAAATGTTTATCACATATTTCCGAGGGGCAAACTAAATTATTAATTATTGCACGAACCGCTCAAAGGCAAAAGGTGGAAGTGCCCTGCTTCGGTGAAACGTCTGACGTCAGATGGTAGTGATGAGGATGATGATGCTACTCTGGTTTTAGTCAAAACAATATGCTCAAACAAATCTTCATGCCAAGTAGTGCAGTGTAGTTCTCCCTCCTCAGAGGAGTGCGTACCTCCGCCGAGGACGAACGGGCCACCTTGAAAAACGTAACGGATAAGAGGTATTAGGTAATGAGTAGTTTTTGTGTAACTCTGCTAACAGACAAACAAAGAAACAAACCCAGATGCAACATAACCTCCCTGACAGAGGAAATAATCCATGATGATGAAGCCTCAGGAGGCCACTGTCCCCAGGCAAACAGGTAATAAGGATATAAGGATGTAAGATACTCTCTCTCTAAAACAGGTTCTCTGCATGTAAACATCCAGTGTCGACCAGCTATTTTACTTCATATTAAGCTTTTATTAAGACACTGTTCTGTCGAGGGTTTCAGATACAGGATATATGCTGGCTAGCATTCTTAAACTACCTGTATGCACAAAGTCAATAACCTGTTCCTGTCTCTAAAACACCCCACAAGGGGATTTTACTTTTTGTTTGTTCATTTCCAGAATTTTAGAAATATCAAACAAGTCTTACCTAATCTTTTGGCAGTGTGTTGTAAAGCAGATCTGTATGTAATATAATTTATGGTGATCATAATTATTATTATTATTTTTATTGTTATTGAGAGTTTTTTTTTTTCTACATATGTGATTGACACAATAATTCAGATCAGGGTTAAGCAATTTCTGCAAATTAGCACAGTTAATGACGGTAGAATTTCTCCAATGATGTACTTTGCTTGCTCTTTTGTTTTAAATGACTCTTTCACACCCCGAGCAAATTCATCTGTCTTCAGTTCCATGCAAACATAAATAAAGGTAAAACAACACAAAATGGAAACAGCTCATTATTGTTAGAGAACAAACTGTGAGGTGTCTGTTTGTCTTGTTGTGTCTTTTCTTTGTTTTGAAAAGAAACGTTACACCATCATGGAACCTTAACACGCTTTACATTTTTGGTTTAACTTTGGTTAAATGAGCAAAACAGGAAGTTATTGGTGTCCGCTTAAAATGTGGTTCTACACAGTTAAAATAATAATAATGACCAACCCTTCCAAACAAGGCTTTGCAAAGATTGATCTGGATTTACTGATGTTACAGAGCTTTTGTTGGTGACATATTTTGTGAAGTAGTTTATTTAGAGTCTGGGTTCTTTTTGATGAATATTCGTACAGATAACAATACACAGTGATTGTTCTATTTTAGAAATAGAAAAACACGGCTAGAGTGTAATTGAAAAGATTTAGAAATCAATAAAAACCAGCGTTTAACAGGGAACTTCCAAAGAATTCCAAACAGAATTTGGTGGATTTGTTACAGCAGCACCTATCCTGGTTCAGGAAGCCGGGGATCGTGGGTAATATCCGCCGTTCAGTTGTGTTTAATATATACTACATGATGAAAGAAGTGCATGCACTGGATTCTAATGAAGATAAGACACAACACATTTCTCTTATTGTAAGATGTCACATTTGAATGAGTTAAGGAGAAAATGGTGGAAATTTGGAAAGTGCGTAAAAGCCTGTCGATGTTGAAAGAAATATTTCTGAGCAGTGACTTCCTTAAACTGTGCGATTTCATAAATGGGGAAGGAGACAGAAAAGCAAGACGAGGAAGAATCACTTTAGCACAGAAGTAGAGAGAGAGAGAGAGAGGGAGACGGAACGAGGTAAAAAACCACATTTAACTAATGCTTAACATATAAAATGATTTGAACTGAGAAATAGAGTTTTTAAAATAAACTGTACAGTTAATGGTTCAAAGTTTGACAGGGGTCCTGAAACATGGCAAAAATGATCCTGCAGATATAAATCTATTCAGAGCTGCTGTTGTACAGATTGTTTTTCGTAAAAGAGCAACTGCATTTCAATCTCGCAACTAAGGAAAATCCAAATGTGCAACATCCTGTTTTGAGATGATGATTTCGATGGTATATTCCCCTGGGTCCGTTTTTTGTGTCAGGTTTGTTGAAGGAACTTTAATCGACTCAGGATGTTTGTTCTCATCTGGTCGACTCTGCTTTTCTCTGTGAGAGTCAGCGATGCTGAAACAGGTTTGCACTTGTTCATTTTACTCATATGCCAACTTTAAAGTTATGAAGAAAATAGGTTAAAATAACTTGCCATTAAAAAAATATGCTACTGACAAGGTTTTCGTTTGGGATTAGGATTTCAATCATACATTTGTTTTCCAAAGATGTGGTTTTCCGAATTATTTTATGTTGAATATTGGAATTCCACTGTGTTGTGTTTGCTGAAATCATTTTATATATAAAACTGTGTAAAACAGACAGATTCACATGTTCTATTTTTTTAAGAAGCTTTCTTCTTATTTTTGTATTTTATAAAAGTTTAAATAACCTCTCTCAATGTTTTTCTCTTACTGTTTGCATTAACAGGTTATTCAGCGTGGGGGCCAACAAGTTGTTCGTATGGCTTCTGTAACACTCTTGTTGAAGGAGACATCACTGCAGAGGTCGGACTCTGTGTCGTGATACCGTGCTCCTTCACTATTCCTTATAGTTTCCGACTCTCAACTTTGGTTTGGTCCAAATGTGAATCGACTAAACCAAGATGTGGTGACGTAGACATGATATTCAACAGTAGGGGTTCCAGCAGAAAGGTTCAGGTGGGGTTTACAGGCCGAGTGTCACTGCTGGAGTCAGATGTGAGTCAGAAGAACTGCAGCATCATCATCAGTGACCTGAAGGAGTCGGACTCGGGAACATATCAACTCAGAGTTAATGGTCATTTCAATGGATATGCAGACGGATTTACATTCCCCCAAAGAACAACTGTCCATGTCAAAGGTATGAACCATTCTGATGGATGCCATATTTGGTGTATTGGGACCATAGGCTGCATATAAAGATAAACGACACGTCTCCATGTCCTCCAGTTGTAAAACCAAACTTTAAAAAATAGCACTTTAATAAACAACAGTGTGAAAAATAAAAGAAACCATTGTTGTGAAAAGTTCATTCGATGTGAAGTTTGAGTTTTGGGTTTGATCCATGTCCCATCTACTAACACGGAGGTGGCATGGTTTATGACCTGTACTGCGACCAACCACCAGAGGGTGATCAAGGTGATTGGGCTTCACTTTAGTGGAGCTGTCATCGTCCATCCTTATTCACAGTCTATGAGTGGGACCTAAAGTAATGTTGGACATTTGTTTGTCGTTGCCACATTTTTTAAAGAGTGAATGAAGTGAATGACGACCTTCTCATCCGACTCCACTCATGAACTGGTCTCCCATCAGGTCTGAGTCAGAAGCCCACTGTGACAATTCCTCCTCTGACTGAAGGACGACCGGCCACACTGACCTGCACAGCTCCCGGCCTCTGCTCTGGCTCTGAACCTACAATCACCTGGACGTGGCGAGGAAGAGGAGAGAGCGACGCTCACATCCCGGGAAGCATCACGGCCCTCATGACTGAGAATGTGGCTGCGTTCGCAAAGAGAAGTCGCTCGAATCTGACCTTTGACCCTTCAGCTGAACACCACGGCGGCAACATCACCTGCACGGTCAACTTCAGAGGAAACGTGATCACAGAGGAGACGAAGACTCTGAGTGTGACCTGTGAGTACACGCTGTACTTCATTTCTGTGGGGCTGAATTTTACAACAGGAAACTGGAATTTAACAACATTATATGATTGTGCAACATGTGTTTTTGTATCATAGATGTGAAGGAAGTTAGAATCACACGTAATACAAGTGTGAAGGAGGGTGAGACTCTGAATCTGACGTGCAGCGTTGAAAGTTTCCCTCCATCGATGATCACATGGACAAAAGATTTTGACCAAAACATCAGAAATGGAACAGAGACCACTCTGCAGAACGACACATTCAGTAACCTGCTCAATGACACCGAAGAAAGAGGAACTGCCACTCTCGCCATCTCTAATGCGACACCAGAGGATTCTGGACAGTACATCTGCACATTGACACACAGGAACAACACCTGGAAGGAAAGTGTCAATGTAACAGTGATCTGTAAGTGCAACAACAAACTAATATATAGGAAAACATCGAAGACAAGAAGCAAATTAAAACAATGCCGTTTGAAATCTAAGACACCAAATGAAATGGTACAAAATCTGAAATAAAAAAACAGCAGATAAAAGTATGCAAATGCATTTATACTGATGCTTACACCTCTGAAATCAGAAATCTCTTTATATAGATACCGAGATTCTTCATATAGACCCTGTAATTCCAGAGATATACTTTATTCATTTAGGGCATGTTATGTTTGAGCAAAAGTCAAGAAAAGTAATGGCACAAAAGGATGAAAGAAAGAGCAACAAACAATAAAGTAAAATAAAGGTTTGAGAGATGATTTAAAAACGGACAGTGACGTGTTAAGTTTGGCTAATTAACCAATAACAGCTTTGTGATATTCCTGAGGAGTTAGCACCCTCCAGTGGTAATATTTAAAAGTACACTGAGGCAGACAACATGCATTATCTATTTGTCTGTCTGTCCATCCATCCATTATTAATTTATGTTTTCCTCACAGACATGAGAGATCCAGTGATCACCGGAGACTCCAAAGTAAAGGGGGGAGATGTTTTGAATCTGACCTGCAGCGTGGACAGTTTCCCTCCATCTCTTGTAGTGTGGACTAAACTTGGCTTCAACACAAACCTGCACAATGGAAGCGTCCTGCAGAACGACTCTGGTTCATCCACACTCATCATCCCTGATGTGACTGCAGAACATTCAGGACATTACATCTGCACAGCACAACATCCGGACAGGACCGCAACTACATTTACTGATGTAACGGTGACTTGTAAGTATGCGGCACTGGTCATTTCTGAGGAGGAAGTTGAAGTTCATCAGCCTTTTGTTCTCATGTTGCTCGTGTTTCTCACAGGGTTTTCAAAGATCTTAAAAAACTCCGGCTGTGAGGTCCAGTCGGGGGTCCTGACCTGCGTGTGCATCAGTGAGGGGTTTCCTCTTCCCGCCATCAAATGGCCGCTGTTGAAAGACCACACTGCGTACTCAATCATTACCACAGTGTCAAACTACACTGTCAGCAGCACCGTCATCCTGAAAGGCCGAAGTAACAGCTCTGTCGAGTGTGTCAGTGATAATGAAAATGGGGAAGCAAAAGAGAAACTCATCACTCGAATAAACTCCTCTGAACTCGGGGGTAATTTCAGCTTCTGCTATTTTAGATCGCTGCTTGAGGACGTTCTTTTAAGCTTTTAACCTTATTCACATAACTTCTGGTCAAACTATTTATTATCGTTCAGAAACACATCAGCATGTTTTTTTTTTTTCCTTCTGATTGCAGATGAACCCAAAGTATTTAAAAGATTTTCATGGTTGGAAGCCATCATCGCCTTTTTCCTTGGGGTTCTTCTCTCAGCTGTAGTTTTCCTTTTGGCAAAACAATGCCAACGGTATTCATCCTATTAAATTATTTCCACATTTCGTTTGTGGATAATAACATAACACGTCTCTAAATTTTAAATACATTTCTCTTCCAGAAAGAAACAGAAAAGCACTGATTATCTGGATGAGACTCTGGAGATGGCGACTAATCAAGAGGATCCACTGGTACTTATTTTGTTTTATCTAATACTATAAACGGTACTTTAGTTTTCTTCAGAGTGGTTCCCAGCAGAGGCGGATGTAGGATTTCTCTGAATCAGGGGCCATGAAGGGCCCACAATTTACACAGAGGGTCCAATTTTATGTCCAACACACATGCACAATTCCATGTGATCCATGCCACAACATGCGATAGATATTAGTATGTTCCAAGTCCCCTCATGAAACCAAATTTAAACTTACTAGATCCAGATTTTTATTTGGATCTGCACCAAACTGCTCACACTCAGATGTGATGTGAATCCTGCATTTGTTTTTAAATGATAATCTAAATAAACTACTGTTTGTGAGGGAAAGTGAACAAAATTACTGGATCAGTTCTTCCCTAACCTAAGATTCTTGCTAAACTGTCCAAGTTTATTTTTTGTGTAATCCAGCTAACAAACAGACAAACGCAGACAAACGCATAACCTCTTTGACGGGGGTAAGAACTTAACTTGTAACCTAGAAGAATAGAAGATGGTTGTAACTTGTGACTGTCTGTAAAAATACAGAAATGTAAATATCACAGAAAAACAAATTGCATGCATTGCGCACAGACTTTCGATTTGTACCCGCTGTCAAATAAGTCCTTTAATTTACAGTGTATCTGACAGATACATAATGGACAAGCAGCAAGAGATGCCCAGACCCACGGCCAAGAGAGAGCTGAGGCTGGATCTGTGGCAGCGGAGACACGAGCCCCTGATCTGGACGGTGGGCCAGATGACGTGGACTACGCCAGCATCGATTTCTCACTGCTGAAAAGAAGGAGTGCCAGAGATGGAGCAAAGAAGCCGGAGACCACTGAGACGGAGTACGCTGAAATCAAAAAACAAGTCGAAGAGGAGAGAGAAGATGGTGGTGCAGAGGAAGGTAAGGTGTTGGAGGAGGCCAGGATAGAGGAGGAAGAGGAGACAAATCATTGTGTCCCAGAGGAGGAGGAAGGGGAGGACATGGCAGTGTACGCCAACATAAAGGATGTAATGGCTGAGATTTAAGGATTGTTTGTTGTGGAGTCGCTTGAGGATAAAGTTTCTTTGCTCTGATCGGATGTAAAGACGGATTGATATGAGATTCACAGCAAATTCAGTCTGTGACGAACAGACAAGACACGACACACCTCTTCAATTAAAGGGCATCTGCATTCATTTGATTAAAGGTGGACTGGAAGTTGGCTGAATATACTTATTCAAGTGTTATTTTGCTTTAGTCTCTTTGCTTTTTATAAACACTCCACATGAATTGAGCCGGCTCCATGTGCAAGTCGCAGCAACAAATCTGGCAGCGACGTCCAGTGTTCAGAAAACACATCAGTCTCCTCAGAAATTCAAATATCAATACTGAAAAAAACACAAAAAAGTGAATTTTACTTCTATGTTTTAGGGATCTACAGATCAGTGTGACGTCTTTTCATTAATATATTTTTATTCCAATTTTCTGGTCGAGCTGATAAAATGTTGCAGCTCTTAATTGTTGGTGTTCTTCTTTTTCTACTTCCCCTTTTAAAAATGCGCTACAGGAATTAGACTCAGAACAGGAAGTTTTTTTTTATTTTGGCAGTAAACCGTTTATACACCAACAAAGCCCTCAATTTTTATTCTGCAATATCTACAGTCTCTGTGAGAGTGAAGTCTTCAGTATGCAGGAATGCATTAACTGATGAGGACAGTCACAGTACATCGCTAATGCAATAATTATATCTGGCGTCTTGAAATGTGTGAAAAGGAAATACACAAATGTCATATTTGCATAATAAACCATTAAACCTGAAGAACCTTTGTGCTTTTGCATGCAGTTGAAATTAAGAACTAGTGAATTCAAATAATTATTAATAAAAGGGTTTTTATTGATGAATAAACAAACGGCTTTGACAGTTATTCAACTGACACTGCAGATATCAAACAGTTATATAGACTGAGCACATTCCTCCATGTCCTGTACGTATTATACACAAACACGTAGGTTAGTCAGTAGAATAGATGACATCTTGAAGTTGCCCAAAGTATCTTAAGTGTGACACTCTTGGTGTTGAGCTGTGATCACGGAAGTGGACGAAGGACAGAGGAAGTGATGAGCAGCAGAGCAGACAGAAACTTCCTGGAAACTTGTTAGAGTGTGAAGAGGCAAGAAGAAGCAGGAGGAAGGGAGATTGAGAGACACAGAGGTAATGCTCCACATTAACCTTAGTTTATAGAATTCTTTCAAATTGTTAACGAAGGCTAATCATGTTTTATTTTTCATTATTTCTAGGATTTATTTTTAAGTAATAATAAAAAAAAAGTATTTAATCAGAACATTTTTTAAATTAAGTAAAACTATCCCGGGACTCAGCTCTGAAGAAATCGGGAACTCTCAGGTTTCTCTATAAACATTTAGGTCTTGACCTCAAACTGAAACTGAATTTAAAACCTTTCATTTTTGCCATGGATTTTGTGAATCACTTTGTAACCTTGTTTAGATAAGTGCTATACAAATAGTTATTATTATTATTGTTACACTTAAAGATGCACCTGCAGAATCACTAACCATGCAACATCCTGTATTCAAATCAGTGCACATGGTCTTGTTTCTAATCCGGTTTCATCGTGTGAACTTGACTTTTCATGTATTTGCTCTGAGCTGCTGAACTGAAGAGTTTGTCCTCTGGAGAGACCGACCACCTCGAGCTCTGAGTCAGGATGTTGGTCCTCATCTGGGCGTCTCTGTTCTTATCTGTAAGCGGAAACAAAAAAGGTAAAGATTGTAACTTTAAATATTTATCTTCTGAGGAGGCTGACGATGACGTGAAGGATTTTAAAGTGAGAATGATCACATGTTCAACATTGACGTGTTTTTAAGAATGATTTAAATTGTGTGTCAGTAATATGAAATATTTTTTTTTTACATATGAGTCTCTATTGTCATAATAATCCTCTGATAAAAATGTCTTAAACCTGCTGAGTCATTTTAAAGGTTCTCAGCCTCTCACTGGAGCCACAGGTTTAAAACAAGGAATCACATCCTGCACATTTTGAGGTCCCAGAGATCATATAAGTTTTATTGCTTCATTTAATTCACAAATTCAAACTTTACTGGACAATTACTAATTCAAGATACACAAGTGTACGTAATAACCGGTGCGCCAACATCCAGGAAGCAGGGTTTATGAACTGTACTGCAGCCAGCCACCAGGGGGCGATCAAGATGCTTTGGCTTCACATGTCGTCCATCTTTGCATACAGTCTATGTTAATCACTGGAATGACGAATGTTTAGCACACAACACTGACCACACATGAAATGACAACAACCAGGAGATGAGAAATGTCCACACACCAGGTGATGCTCCCAAAAACGTATTTCTCATCTTCTTGGTTTCCTCTACACAGTCGCAGAGTCACCGTCGGAAAACAACTGCAACGTCACCTACACCGCCAACCAGAGCAACCCTGCGCCCAACTGTGTCAACAGCACCGCCGAGGTGCACGAGCGCTTAAAGTGTGAGTGTTTACCGACACTTTCAGAATCGAATTGTTGTGTGGATTTTGTATTTTCAATAAGAAACGACACTGAGCACAGTTCATTTTCTCCTTTTTTTATTTCAGGTCTACTCAACCAATTGTTTCTCACTGTGAAACAGCCACAAGTCATCATTGCATTTCTGACCGGGATTCTTCTCACAGCAACCATCTGCTGTTTGGTCAGAGCATGCCACAGGTTCAACCTCTCAACTCCTGAACCTTCAATTACAGTTTTGTAGTTTGTAGTTTGTAGTAGATTTATAGTTACACTGCTTCAGCATGTTTATTCATATTTACTGAAAATCATAAATAATAAGCATTTTCAAGATATACCACCAAGGTTTTTAATATATGTAAAAAACATGATCAGCTTTCAGAGACAAGAGACACAATCATGTCTGCTGTCATTTGTTTTTATTGTTATAATATTGTTCATCATTGAATTACATCAATGTTTCTTTAAGCCACAGTAAAGGACTGTTGTGTTGAAAACACCTGATTCAACAACAAGTTATAATCTGAACCATTCAAAATCATACGTTTAATTCTTTAGAAGTCTGTTTTAAGAGTTTTGTTATCTGTTGACATTTTTCACCAGAAAAAAGAGGAAATCTGAAAATGTGGCCGAGAACATGGAGATGGTGACCACTGAAACAATGCGGCTGGTATGTTTATTATTCATTTGTAACACAGTGTTTTGTGATATGTTAGTAAAATGATATTCTGCTCACATTCAGGCTGATAATATTAATTTTAATTTATTGATTGAAGAGGTTGACATGCTCTAATGTTCAGGAAACACATCACTCTCCTCACTGTGTCCATCGCTGCACCTCCTCTTTGCAGCCTCTGTCTTCAACACCTCGTTGTAGCTCCTGTCTCCTCTCTGATTGGCCAGTGGGCACACTCTGTTTTGATTGGTGCCTCCACTCTTGCTTTATCTGGCTTTTGGGCTTTATTAACTATATATATATATATAAAATGATTGACAATGGGACAGCTCGTGATTACCCCCTGGTGGCTGTTTGCAGTAAGGATCATAAACCCCACTTCCTCCTTAGTGGATCAGCCAAGAGCCAAAATAAAAAGTCAAAGCCCACGTCAAGAAAAGGTTTTTATTTTAAATTAAGAATTAATTAGTTATTTCATATTTAAAAAAGGAGGTGAAACATCATGATTGACAAAGGAAGTCAGGTCAGCAGTTAGATAATGTTGTTCAGAAATGTCCCTGATGAAGAGGAGGGATTTGACGCATCGTCTACTAACTGTTGTCTGACCTGTGTGAAATAGCAAATGACTCATTATTACATCATATATATGACAGGTCGATGATTGTCAAGCAGTGGAATGTGACGACGGGACTCATGGCTGGGCAGCTGAGGCTGCTGGGACATCAGCGCCTGAAGGTGACCAGGAACTAAAAGAAGTGGAGTACTCCAACATTGTCTTCTTTGGGTCACGGAGCAGTCTCACAGAGGACAGGGACGCTCGAGAGGCCGCAGAGACAGAGTATGCTGAAATTAAGAAAGACACAGCGGAGGAGGGACAAGATGATGGAGGGGAAGGAGGTGAAGTGTTGGAGGACAACAGAGAGGAGGAGAATCTGGTAGAGGAAGAGTTGGAGGCGGGACTGAATGTGTTGACAGAGGAGGAAGGTGAGGACGGGGCGGTGTATTCCACAGTGACTAGAGAACGAGAGGAACCCGGGGGCAGAACAGAAATACATGTTCACATATAATGTGTTACGATAAGGGCTGACTGTGTTTATGAGGCTGATGAAGAATCCTTTTAAAAAAATGACACAATTAAAATTCACATTTCTTTGTCACAAGGGTTTGATAACGACAGGAATCATTTAATTTGTTTTTCTAAATATATAATATGAGCCGATATATCATATAGGACATTTTTTACTCTTAAGCATCAACTCCCAAAAATCCACATGGGTCGGGCTCTGACTCAAAGAGTCCAGGGCAGAGAGCAGGTGTGAAGTACAAAACTCTCGGAGAGAGAAAGAACCCATTACATTTTGTCATAGATCCAGACAAAGGGTCAGATCCAGGACTTCCTTTTCACTTTCTTTAACAATGTTGGATTTTGTGTTTTAAAATAAAAAAAAACAATTTTTGTAAATTTCCCAGAGAATAACTCGTGGACCTTGTGCAGATTAACAGAATATAAGAGGAGTGTTGGGTCCTACTCAGGGTCATTCTAGGTTTTTTTAAAAGAAATAAGTGTGTTTGAAATTTTCTCTAAGTTGATAGAACTGTTTGAATCTAGTTTCTGCTGTGTTCACGGAAAAGTTGACTGTGTCTGAAACATACTGTAAATATCTGCTGATGGTCAGACCAGTGCGCTGCATGCTTCACAATGTCAGAATGTGAATCTGAGGCAACCTGAAATTAATTGAATAACTAGAGTTTTGACCGCTTCAGTTTTGTTTTTATCCTCCATGCACCTTGGAAGTAGATGAAATCCTTCTCTGAGAAAATTCTTCATAACTTCAGATTAACGGTTTGAAACGGTTTTAAAACTCAATGTCTGTGTCCGAGTGTTTAAATGACTGAAATGAACCCGTCTCTGGTATTTATCCTTTGTCCTCAGTCGTACTCGCTCTGTTAAATGTGCTTCAAATTACCGACGCTACTGTTCTGGCCTAGTTCTTTTGTAAATCATTAGAAGAAGAAGTTACCAGAGACTCTGTAGAGAAAGTGATGCCATATATGGAAACATCTAAATGAATACCCATATGAGTGTTTACCACACTAAGCTGACAACTGTTCCTGTGATAGCAGCAAACACAGATGGGGTTTGTAAGAGGTGCAATAAAAAAAGATTCTGATCATTTCTCTGATACAAGGGAAATGCAAAGAAGCTGCATACAGCGAGCATATACCCACAGTTACAGAAACGAGCATGTGCACAACGAAAATACAAATGTTTCTTTTGTCAAGATGAGCAGATTGGTTTTTTTGTGCAACTGACATCAACTTCCCCTTTTCTCATTTCATATTCTTGAAAGTGGTACACAAAAACATAGGACATAGAGCATGATGGGGTAGATAATAACTGTCTCACAAGATGAGCCACAGAACTCAGCATTAAATGTCTCTGCTTGAAATGGGAGAGGGTAGCGGTAGTCAAATCTAGTCAGAAATCTTAAACAGATGAACATGCAACATCTGTGCACCTGCTTCCGAGCGTGATCAACCAAACTTCCTGTGTGAGTTTCTTTCTTTCTCTTAAAGTTACAGAGTGAAGAGTTTTGTGATATGTAGTGTTGAAATTGCATGTTGCAGCTGAACAGCCCTCACCTCGCCCTCTCCTTCCACACATGAAAAAGAAACTGCTGTGAACTTTAATTGTCATAAAAACTAAAATTTAGAGGAAACGAACGAGTGAAAACATCATGAGGATTATTCTACATTCAATTTCTGCCAATAGTTCCCTTTCGCCTAAATCTGGAGCTTTAAAGGGAAGTTTGTGTTCTGCGGATGGAGAGATGAACATACGCTGTTTTTAGACATGAACTCCTGAGAATGTCCGCACAAATGTTGCTGGACTTTCTCAGGAGTTTGCCACTTTCTCATGTGAACAACCAGGCAGGAGATTCTTTGGTCAGACGCATTCAAAACAGAACAAGAATCTGTGGAGTGTAAGCAGCTGCAGAGGAGGGTTCATGACGTATTTACTGCAGTCAGCCACCAGGGGGCGATTCAAGCAACTTTACGGTGACAACAAGTCATTACTGCATCCTGTGGTTCCAGTTATTTACAGTTTTGCTGTTTCTCTTGCATGTATTTAATAAAAATATTTATTTCTAGTGAACCAGATTGAGTTAAAACTGTGCACTAGAAAATTCCTCCCATCTTTTCGTTTTTGAAATAAGCTTTTAGTGTAGAAATAAAAGATATAAATTCACATCACGGTCTTCTGCTGTGTGAGAGGATGTGAAGCTGAAAATAACTGGAACACAGGTGGTTTGTGGGTCCCAGAGAGTAAAACTACTTTTTTTAACTGTATATATTCAACTTTGTTCTTTTTTATTCTACATTTTAAAAATATCTGCAGGGAAACTAAAAACAGCTTTCATTGTAAATGACAATAAAACTTTCATATTGCTGATTGTGGTATTGAGGTGTGGTTTTACTTAAACAACTTGTTTTAGTCTTGGTTTAATTAATTCAAAACAATTGTTGCTATAACATGAACGATGCTTCATTAAAAAACTAAATATATAATTAAACACTTTTTATTTAGGTGCCTGTTATTGTATTCTTGAAGGCTTGCACATGCTAGCCAGTAGCTTCACATTCACACAGAGTGTGCATGGATGTGCTTAAAAAGATTGTCGGATTAAGGAGCTAAAAGGATTATCATGTTCCACTGGCTGGACGAACACCTTAAATAGAGCAACCCGACGCCGTCAGTGCTGCAAAGCTGCAGAGGAACAACTGGAAACACCGATTTCACCCGGAGGGCTACTTCTACCCCACATTGTGTAGGTGAGTGTGTTTAGTGTTATGTTGAAATAACAACTGACAGCTCTACATATTTATTTTCATTTTATGGTGAAATGAACCACATCTTGTGATGCATTTCTATTTGTCGGTCATGTAAACTAAACTAAATTAGATTTACTTGACTTAAGTAATAAGTAAAAATAAAATCAAGTATATGACTATATCCTGAACTTAAACTCTTGAGTATCCAAAGTAAAAGTATTAATTCTGCACTAGAACATTCTGAGACATTAGAATTTTATTAGATAATTTTAAAGTATTTTAGTTGACATGGAGCTAATTCATTTACTTCAGACGAAGGTATTTGTCGGGGTCCTGCTCTCCTGAATAACTAAATACATGTGAAGTGTCATAAGTTGCAGAGTGTAATTAAAAAACAACAAATACTTAATGCACAGTTCTGGAGTGTATTTACTTTCCACCACAAACAGTACTGCTTAGACACACAGTTTTTTTTCTCTAAAGAATATTATTTAACTTTTTACAGAAGTTCAGGTTTCCTGTAATAGGCTTGTGATATATTATTATTATTACTGCAAAGACACCAGTTTTTCTATTGTTATCAGTGCCAGTTGTAAACGTGCCTGTTTGAAAGAGGCTGTTTGCTTCGCCGACCGTGGGACTCAGTCCACAGAACCGTTGATGGTCCCAGCCGCCTCTGCTGCAGAGCGCTGGTCACCTGTTTATTCACAGCTCATTAGTCTATTACTGAACGTGTTGCATGTCTAAATCACGTCAATTTCAACACTTTGCACATTTCACGTGTGAAGCCGATAAGATGAGATCAGATAAGAAGTCACAGAACGACAGACAGTCTAGATAGATAGAGAGAGATTTGTGGAATTGGTCCATAGATGTCGGATTGTATCCATTATATCTGTTCTATATTAAAGGACCTGTTGTGACTCTTCCAATGATTCACTCTGTCTCTCTGCAGTAATGGCTGATGTTTTCAAAGGCCTGAGCTTCCTTGAGACCCTGAAAGAATCCATAGACAGCAATAAGTTATCAGATGTCAGGGATGCGGTGGAAGATCTCTTGATCAGTAGGATCAACTTGGCCGTGGAGGGAAACCGCGGCGAAGGAAAAGACTCCTTCATCAACTCCCTCCGTGGCCTCGGACCTGGGGATGAGGGGGCGGCTCCTGCTTCAACCCCCGTGGCCTCAGAGGACGTGGCCGGCTATCCGGACCCTAAACACCCTGACTTTCGCCTGTGGGACCTGCCACCCGTACCCAGCGCCTCCCCATTTGAACCCGAGGGATACATGGAAAGAGTTAAATTCCTCCGCTACAATGCTGTCTTCATGGCATTCACACATACGCCCCATCCCAACAGTGTGCAGGTGTACATGGAAGCCCGTTCTCTGCAGAGACAAATGGTGTACTGGGTTCTCTTGGCTTTGGTGGGAGATACAGAGAAGAGCCTGGAAGAGAAGAGGAAAGCCGGTCTGGAAACACTGAGGTCGCAAGGTGTGACACAGCCTAAAATCTACGTGGTCAGACCCTCCACCCTGGAGAAGTCTGACTTCCCTGGTCTGTTGGACGACATGGGCAAAGACCTTCCAGAGATCCGAGCCCAAGCCCTTCTCCTGGCTCTCCCGACACTCACCTCAGCCCTGGTCACCCAGAAAAAGGAGGCCTTCAAAGCTCTGGTATGGGCCGCTGCATCGCTATCTGGTGGGATGTCTGCTATTCCCGTCCCCCTGGTGGCGTCTATGGTGGACTCGAGTGTTGCAGTGCGGATCCTGACGAAAGCACAGTTATCTCTGTGCCTGGATGACAAATCAGTCGAGCGATTGGCCCGACAGCGAGGCGTGGAATCCTCGAGACTTAAAGTGCTGCGGACTTGTGCGCTGTCAGTGGAAGTTACCAAAGGGGAAGTGAAGCGGCGGCTGGCGGCGGCAGAACAGGATTTGGCCACAGTGTCGTCAAAGCTGGTGGAGATGGCCATGCCCAGACACGCCCGTTATGCCAGCCGCTCCTTCGCCGCCATGCTGCAAGCTCTGAACGGCGCCATTGATGAAATGGCGGCTGATGTCGACAAGATCTTAGCTGCAGCTCTCGGGCAGGGGGAGTGAAACGCTTTTTGTCTTTGTGCGATGTTTCCTATTCACGTGTGGTTCACGTGCACTGATGTTTATAAAACTCTTCACAAATGCTTTTATTTCACTTTGTTTGATGAAGTCTTGAATAGAGACACTATGTGTATAAATAGCATAAATAAATACGTAGTGCTGTAAACTGCTCAGTGCCGATTAACCCGGCTGCACCACAAATACCACCGAAACGAGGTTTTCACTTAAAAAGAAAAACCAAACAAATACAGGAAGTGAAAGGAAGTTGATCTGTGTGCATACACTGTGAGATGCTGCAAACGCTATCACTTTGATCAGTGTGCCTACGAGAAGCTGTTAGAGGATGGAAATTTCTTTAAGGTTTTAAGTCAAGTGTGAAAACTTCCTTTTTCTGCGAAGTTTCATTTTTAGTCTTGGAGGGATGGTGTGTGTGACAGGCTGATAATAGCGGTTCGTCTGAGGTAAGAACAAGCTTCTATGGTTTTTTATCTCCTCATAATGTAAATCCACTATAGTAAAAATAACGAAAAAGTGTGTTTCAGAAGTTTCCTATACAGTATTTTCACTGCTTAGAAACTGTATTTATGTGGACAGTCCATTTAACTTTCAATTCAGTTGAAATACTTTCTTTAAAATAAAAAATTAATTCAGTTTCAGATATCGTAGCACCCTGATGACTGAGATGAACCCTAAGAGGCAGATATGACTTTTTAAACAAAACATTTCAGACTAAAAGGTACAAAAATAAAATGTATGTTTGCAGTCGAAATATTTTACGTGTTATGTTTTTTTTTTATAATAAAAGAGATTTGAACAAGTATCTAATGACAAATAAAAATTTAAAAAATACCCTAACCCTGTATCTTAGTTACAAAAAAGGGAAAAAAGAAACTTGTAAACTTCTGGGATTAAGAAAAATGTGGCACAAATATTCCATTTTAAAATAATTTCTTCCATTTTTCTTACACAAAATGAAATTTTTCAGTGTGGATGTGACTGACGGTGACGTTTGTATTTCGAATCTGCATTTTTCTAAACCACAAGTTCGCAACCGTCTTGAAATGAGGAACAAAACAAAGACAGCTCTTAGTGTAGAAATGAAAAGCGGAAGAAAAACCTTCTGAGACAAGGTGATTTACAGTGAACAATAAATTTGATCACACGTTTTACAGTACAAAGAAACAGTTCTGTGATGCCATGATGTTTTTAATTATGTACACAGACACTGTTCAGTTTTATTTGTTTCAGAAATCAAGTTTTAGTCCCACTTGAGATGGAGGCCCAGACAGTGACGTGGTTTGTTTTTCTGGTCCTAACAAAAAGTAAGGATTTTATTTCTCTACTTTTAAAACAATATTTTTTTACCCAGCATTTGCATCAAAGATTAACTGACTTCACCACTTGTGTTTTCACTGACAGATGTCTCTACAAGTTACACTCCCTTTGAACTACAACCTGGTTCGACGGCTGAGGCCACTGAGGGATCCTGCTTTGAAATTAAATGCAGTGTCATAAAAGATTTATATGATCGTAGTGCATACTGGTTTTGGATGAAAGATGCACAATATGACGACAATCGTAAAGATTTTAGCTCCACTGTCATTTACAGCTCAAAAAGCTCGACACGTCCGGTCAGTCCTGACTTTGCAAACAGAGTGAAATTCACCGGTTCCTCATCTTCAAGTTGGAGAAATGGTCACTCTTGCAGTATTCTGATTTGTGACCTGAGAACAAGTGACAGCGGACGGTATTCTTTTAGATATGTTGAGACGGGAAAGAACCGTTGGGCAACTAAAGATATGACCCTCAATGTTAAAGGTATGTATAATAAAGATCAGAACATTAAAATACATTTCAGAATATACACAAAATTAAAATCAGTGGACAAATGTGTCGTGACTGACCCGAGCAACGAGGGCTCCACCTGGTGGATCCTCCCCGGCCGGACATATCCCATGAGTCATTGCGCTTCGGTGACGAACTGAAGAGGTAATGGCAGCAAAAAGTGAGGCAAAAACCTCAGGAGAATTTATTTTAAATATACTCAACCGAACTGCAAAAGGTACACATGTTAAAAAAAACACGTTTAACACTTTTAATCAACTGAATAAAAATGTTTTCTGGAGCGTTTGTTGCTATGCGACGGTTGTGGGACAAACTGAGATGAAATGCGTCGGTGTAGCCAACATCAGATGCGTAGACCGGGACCTACGCAATGCTGCTATAAAAAAATAACACTGTACAATTAGAATTTAGCTGTTGTGTATACACATCATCACATTTCTCTTGCTTATGTATTTTCAGAAAACCAATGCCTGCTCACTTTTAACTTTGAACCAACTGTCGTGGAGGAGAACGAATATGTCACACTCACATGCTCCACTCCAACTTCATGTCCTTCAAACCCATGCATTCAAGATGTGACACAGCGCGACCTGGGAGGGTTCACAGGCACTTATGGAAAAAAGAAAAGCTCCACCTACAGCTTTATGTCCAGACGGGAGGATGACAAGAGGGTGTTCTCATGCAAAACACAGGACAACACGGACAAATATTTAATTCGGAATATTACAGTCACTGTTGAATGTAAGTTGATGAATTCATTTTATTGATGTCCTATCTTTTCAGTAATACAAGCTGCTGATATTATTACTATTATAATTCTAAGAAGGCTGTTGGTTCGAATCCCAGTCTTTCTGTTAAGTTTGTATTTTCTCCCCGGCTATATATGCCACATAAGATTCACATCCCAATTACACTTTGCCACATTTGTTTGGAGATAATTGGGTCACTTTAGGCTTGACATCCATTTTGTCTGGGCCACAGGAGGACCAGAAGTGCTCGATCGTTGTCTGAGGTGGCTCACATCCGTGTGCTATCTGGGTTGTGAATTCACTTTAAACTATCTTCTCTTTCAGATTCACCTGATGTTGAGATAAAGATAATGGCACCAGTGTCTGCAGTTAAAAGAGAAACTAAGATCATTGTGACCAATGCAGTGACTTTGGATTTAACATGTGACGTGAAGAGAAGCAACCCACGACCTCACACCTACACTTGGTTAAAAGATGGAGCAAGAGTTGGTTGGAAACAGAATTATACTGTAGGAATGATCCAGCCTGGGGACACAAGCTTTTACATATGTGAAGCCACTAACAGAAAAGGTACAGGAAGATCAAAAGAACTTCAACTGGACGTTCAATGTAAGTTTAACTTGTGCTTTCACTGTTTGTGTGTCAGAGAACAACAAGAGAAAAAACATGCTACAGTTTGTATCTCCAGTCAGAAAGCAAACTGAAAGTTGGGTCCTTTTTCCAGATAAGCCGAGGGGGACCAAAATTTCTGTCAGTGGCTCTCCTGATCACAAAGTGAAAGTTAATCAACGTGTCAAGTTCACCTGTAACACCGAAGCCAATCCTGCCCCGAGGACTTACTTCTGGTACAAACATAATGACTCACAGTGGAAGACCACAGGAAGCCCTACGCTGGATTATAAAATACAAAGAGCAGATGAAGCATGTTACAGATGCAGGGCCATCAACCACATTGCTGAAGGGGATACGAGTCAGCCAGTGTGCATACAAGTACTGTGTAAGTACCGTGGTGTTTCCAGGGATTTTTATGAGAATTGAAATACTTTGGTCATCTGCTTCCATGTCAGCCTCTGCTCTTGCTTTGAATTCCTTTTTTTTAGAGGTGTGCCAGATAAGCCACTATGCATGCATTATGCAATTATGGGGTATTTTTGATACCCCGGAATTATCGGCTGCACTGCTGACGAGGAGTTTGAGAAGCTTCAGGAGAGGAGCTCCCTTTAACACAGATTCTTTGCTCTGCAGAACATTTACATTCACAAAAAGCTGATGTATCAGACGAAAGGGAAGAGAAACTGAAAAATCGTAATGTTCATTCTTTAAATTTGAAGGTATGTATAATAAAGATCAGAACATTAAAATTAATTTCAGAATATACATAACATTAAAATTAGTGGACAAATGTGTCCTCCACCTGGTGGATCCTTGCCGGCCGGACATATCCCATGAGTCATTGCGCTTCAGTGACGAACTAAAGAGGTAATGGCGGCAAAAAGCGAAGCAAAAACCTCAGGAGAATTTATTTTAAATATACTCAACCGAACAGCGAAAGGTACACATGTTAAAAAAAAAAGCAAGTTTCACACTTTCAATCAACTGAATAATATTTTTTTTCCATAGCATTTGTTGCTATGTGACGGTTGTAACAGTGGGACAAGCTAAAGTGAAATGCGTCGGTGTAGCCAACATCAAATACGTAGACCGGGACTTACGCAATGCTGCTATAAAAAAATAACACTTTACCAAAGGACGTTGTGCTCCCTCTACAGACCCACCCACCCAACCTAAACTGTCTATGCCGGCTGAGGTCACAGAAGGTCAGAAAATCACCATCAGCTGCACTGCTGAAAGTTTCCCACCGTCACATCTCACCTTGACAAGGATCAACACATCAAATCATCAGTCTTTAGGAAACGCTCAAGAAGTTAATTATTCACAACCCAACAACACTCTCCACCAAACGTTTACTGTGACTTCAGCCCACGCTGGCTTGTACAGCTGCAGTGCCTGGAACACCGAGGGCATGAAGCAAAGCGAGCAGAAGCTTGTGGTGAAATGTGAGTGTTTCAGCTGCGTCTTTTTTTAAGAAATCTAACCAAAATTTAACAAATAAATTACGACCTAAAGTAAATGTGTCTATTTGATTAATCACTGCAGAGCTAAGAAATTAAATTGGTGCGTCATTAAATTATGACTTCAGGGCTAT